GCAAATGTTGGCGAGGTTGTGGAGAAAAAGGAACTCTTCTGCACTGTTGGTGGGAATGCAAACTGGTCCAACCACTATGGAGAGCTGTGTGGAGATTTCTGGACCTACTAAACATAGAGCTTCCATATGATCCAGCAATTCCACTCCTAGGTATTTACCCAAAGGACACAGAAACATCAATTCCAAAGAACACCTGCACCCCTATGTTTATAGCAGCACTATTTACAATAGCTAAGCTTTGGAAACAGCCCAAATGCCCAAAAATAGATGACTGGATCAAGAAGATGTGGTACATATATACCATGGAATATTACTCAGCATTCAAAAAAGATAAACACATGCGATTTGCAGCAACATGGATGGCGCTGGAAGGGATCATGCTCAGCGAAATAAGCCAAAAAGAAAAAGAAAAATACCGGATGGTCTCACTCATAGCAGGAATCTAGAAAACTTAAATAAGGGACCAGGAAAATGAATAACTATAAGAAAGTGAAAATCAAAATCAACAAAAAACTATGAACCAGAGACACTTTTTGGGGGGTGGGGGGTGGGAGGGGAGGGATTGGGATCAGAAAGGGGGGTTGCAACTGTATGGGGAATATAAAAATAAAATTTATTATTTAAAAAAATAAATAAATGAAGCCATTTCTAAAGCAATTGTGAGCAAAAGGCAAGTGTACTATCTTTATAATACCAGCATGTTTTTTCCAATTCTTTTGCACTAGACTGTGGTGTAGCCTAGTCCTTTCCAAACCCCACTGCTTTACAAGACTCCATTTTGGATACCTGATGTCTATACAATTGCATTTATATAATTTATAAGTCACATAATATGCAAACTGAGAAATGCATACAACTACTGACTTGTCTGCACCATCATAAATATCCTCTTGCTTTATATCCCAGGCAAAATCCCTACTACAAATCGCTGATACATTATGCTTGTCTTAGAGAGCACATTTTAAAAGAAATTCCATTTACAATGAGTGTGTCTAACTTTTATAGTAGAAAGGAAATTATCTTCTTATTACAAACATTGAAAATTTCATGTTAGGATTCTCCTTGCCCAGCTTCTGCACCAATCTGCTTCCTAAGACTAAAAAAGGGTCTGCCCCACATAGCTCAGGATGGGAATGTGCCAGCCTCTGGATCTTGAATACTCAATAATTTTCTAATTACAGTAAACCCTAAATACTTCAAGAGAAGCTTATTTTTTTTTATCTCCTAAGAATGGTTATAATATTTTATTACTAAATAATGCTAATTATATACATGCATGCACATATAATTTGAAAGGATTTTTTAAAAATTCTGTATCTAGAATGGGGACTTGTTATTGTCAACAGGGTGATCTGGTCTCCCAGGGGATAGTTGGTTAAGTCAGGAGACAATTTTGATTGCCATGGCTGGGTGTGGGGATACTAATAGCACTTAGTGGGTAAAGTCTAGTGATGTTGCTAAATATCCTGCAGTGCACAGGATGGTCCTGCATAGCAAAGAATTATCTGGTCCCAAATGCCAAGAGTATCAAGGTTAGGAAGCCTTTGCTAGACAGGATTAGTAGCACACATTCCATCTAAACTTCTTGTTGGCAAATTTCTTAATGCCTAGCAGAAAAGGTATTTTCAGTTACTTCTTGGAGGGTGATGTTCTGTTGTTTGATGGTAGGTAACACTCTGGACGTAATGTAGCTATTTGATTTCTTATTTGAAAAGTTTCTAGGAAGAAGTTGCATTGTTTCATTTTATTTTGTGGTAATATTATGTCAATGTGTCATCACATCCTTTTAACTCTCCTAGAGAGCTTACTAAGAAGAGAATTTTCATCAACAGCCCCTTTCTATGCTAAAAGTAACAAAACTCTTCTTATTACTGATTTCTCACTCATCTGTCTCTTTGTACATCTCCATATTCAGTGTGAAACCAAATCAAAATTATGGGAACAGAAAAATCAAAGAGTAAGAGAAGAATCAATATACGAATTGTCCAGAAACCAAAGGAGGTAAAATATTTGCTTCTCCTTAATGGAGTTCTGAAAGTTTGTATAACAAAATCTCATCAATACAGAATAAATGCTGAATTGCTCATCTTTTTGCTACATATTGCACACAGTGAGATTTTTAACTTCATAAATTACAGAGAGTCATATTTTTAAGCAAGTAACTCCAATGTTTTCACTCTGTTTATTTGAATTCTGAAAGGCTGATTATCACAAGCAATGAATAAAATAAATAATAGGAGGATAAAGGGACACAGTTTTTTAAGTCTAAATTTAAGTGGATTTTCTATAGTCCAAACGGAACTGTTTAATTAGCCCTGTAATTAAAACAAACCAAATAAAAGATTTCCTGTAATCATGCCACAAGACATTCACATGTATTTGCATCTTTCCTTGGCATCCTGAGTCTCAAGGCATCTAGCAACACCATTCAATGCCAAATAGAACTACTTGATATTTTTTGCTCACAATCAATATGCCAAAATAATTCAGATAAGGTATAGCATAGGTTTTCAGTGTTCAACCTATAATTCATCTAGATCCCTTCTATAAAGTGGTTAGAAATTATGTATTTTAACCTACACGCAAAAGAAAAAATCTCCTAGAATTAAAGACTATTGACCAATATTAAAATAGAATGGCTTTGCTACAGATGGCCATTTCATCATACACAGAGAAATCTTGTTTTCTTTTGTTTTATTTATATAGAAACTGTATGAATTCAAGAATACACGATTCTCAAGCTCTACTTTAATATTTGAATAGAAAATTATATCCTGCCTGTTTTACCTTTGCCTCTGGTCTTGAGTTTATCTTTATCTCTATTTGTCCCACTCCACATTATGGACCGGAATGTAAGCATTGATTTAATCAACCATTTATTGAGTAAAGGACAGAGGCCAAATCAACAAGCCATGAAAAACCATAATCAATTTTTCCTGGGCTGCATCTAATTTGTGCCCCGATCTAATCAATGTTCCCCCAACCCCAATTCTTTATAATATAAAAGGGATAAGAACTTTATAGTATTTTCTCTGGGTAAATATCACAGAAACATAAAATAAATAAATAAAATAAATTTATTATATAAGAATAATTATTTCATAACAATCTGAGGCGCTTGGCCAAAGTGCTGATTTATGGGCTCTACTTCAGACCTTCTGAGTGCCCAGAGCTGGGTGATTACCCAGGAATTTGGATATTAATAGGAAGTCCAAGTACTATCCTTGAGAAAAACATGCTTTTTTTTATAATACAGGCATTGTGGAATGTAATTTGAGTTAAATTCTCAGTCCTAATATGGCTCTCATTCCACTCCCTTTTCCTTTCCCTGAAATTTACATAATTTTGTAAATTGATGGGAAATCAATTAAGAAATCAATGATAAAACACTAACTCTATAACTTATTTAAAGTTACTTGATCTAGCTACACTTTATTTTGCCATCTAGGAAATAGTAGTAATATCTATCTCTTGTGTTTGCGCTTAATATTAAAATATGCACTTAAAAGTTCCAATACCTAATTAGTACATAATAAATGGCATATCATTAGGAATAGTAGTAGTGGGATCCATCATCCTCAACTTCATCACCACCATCATCATCACACTGTTCCATTAATTCCTGTGCACTCAACTTAGGAAAACACTGCTGTTCCAGAGAAAATAATGAGAATTCTTAAGATATTTTTATCTTAGAAAGCCTAATTAAAATCAAATGCAATGCATAAGGGCATGTGCACTAAGTTACCATTAAGTTTCTTTGCTTTTGGCAAGAATCCTTCAAGTCCATGTGGTAATTCTCTTATCCTGCTCAAAGGGAGAACTTGACTCTTGTACATGTCTTTATGGATAAGCCAATTAATTGTTATTTAATAAATGTGACTTGATTTGATAATATCACAAAATATAGAAAGAATGGTACACTTATTGTATGCTGATTTCCTTGCTGAATAATTTATATAGTTAAAATTTGACATGTTTTTAAGAGGATCAAGCTGCCTTATAAATGTACAAGCAGTGAAATGTAATATTCAAATAACTTATGGTATAAAAAAAATTGGTCCATTCAAAAAATTATTATGTAAAATCAGAAACCTTTAAATATGAAGAACATGATACAAGAGGTTTGCTTAGACTTTTGACATTAGATAAAGACACCCTCCTCCTCATCTAATAATAGGATAATGATTCTAGCACCATATTTCCATTTTTCTAATCTATACTGTTGAGAACCACCAAGAGTGATGTTTCTGACTCAGGAAAAACAGTAATTTTAGCCTAACAAAACTCACAGGCAAATTCATAGACATATTCCACTTTACAAAGCATAATTCCCTTGGTTGCATTGCTACATTCATGGGCACAATGTCACTGAATATTAGATTTCATCTGCACACAGGTAGAAGGCATTCTCAATCAATCAAAGGGCTGTATTTCACAAGACAGCACCAATCACAAGCACTGCATATATTGCAAATAGAAAGGTACACATAAAGGAATCTTACCAATACTAATTGGCTTATAGTATCAGGTCCATGAATGATAATGTGCCTAATAAACCAATATTAGAATAAAATCCCAAGCACAACAATAAACCTGCTGCGGGAGTTATTTAAAATGTTTTTACAAAGGAGCATGAGCTCTAATTTAGATTCTGTTGATGCAGCAGATTGTTAAAACTCCAATAGTTGCATGTGATGCTACCCAATAGGTGATAAGTGGGGCAGGTCAGTTAGTCAGGCTTTATCTCTAATTAGCACTAAAAATGCACAGTGAAAACTATAGCACAGAGACAATTCAACCTTGTTAAATGAGACACGTGGGTGGGAGGGCAAATGAAGCTCTATTTTCAGAGGGAGGGTGCCTATTAGGAAATAATCAAAAGGTATCCACTTTGGAAGAGCCATAGCCACCATGTAAACGATATATCAGGTCAACAAGCAAAGGATTCCATTCTTTGTGACTCTGTCCCACTGCCCAAAGCAACAGGCTTAGGTTACCTTTCTCGCAGTGGCTTCCCGTGAATCCAGAAGGGCAGACACATTTGTTAGGAGCGACACATGTTCCACCGTATCTGCAGCCCTCTTCACAGAATGCTGTAGGAAAAGAATGAGGAATTTCTTAGATAAACTGGAAATAAGGAAAATCATCATAAAAGGCTGGATCATTGAAACAATTCTTCATTACCTAGGGAATACATAACTATGGTAACACAATTAAGTTTTAGTGCACAGAAATAAATGTAGTTATATCTATTTCACTGGTTTACATGAGCTCAATTGAAATAATGAATGTAAAATATTTAGCACAGGGCTGATATGAGCAGCTATTACTGTTGCTATTATTGTTATGGATTTGACATCAAATACAGTAAGTTGAGTAACCAGAAAGGATAGAGTTGGGATAAAGGCAAAGGCATTTAAAATACTATTTTCTAAGTACTCTTTTTCACTAAACATCTTTTATTACAATGAAGGCATTTTTGCATTATATTTAAAAGCTTCAGAGTAGTAAATATAATGTTGATAGCATAATAAATGTAACTAACTGCTTATAATATTGAAGACACTGCCAACATCATTTCTGTTATAAAAATAATGCCTTATAACTAATATGCTTAAAATGCTTCAGTGTGTTATTATGTTAGGGTAAATACCTCAATGTGAAAATACTGTATCCAAGAGGAAGGACTTAGATAAGTCTTTGGTAAGTAAGCTTTGCAGAGTTATCCCGAGTTCTAGTTCTACCTGTTAGTCTTTCCAGGGTGGGTTAGTTCCCCTCTTACACACTTACATAGCATAGTTCCATTTACTTTTCCTTTGAAATATTAAATTTAATTAGACATTGATATATAACTGACTACCACCTTTTTTCTCATCCCCTGGACTGTAAGACACATGAGGCCAAATCTAACGATTGTGTTTGTCCCCATTGCACCATCATCTCAGTGTTTGAGCATGTAGTATATGCCCACAAATACTTGCTGAGTGAATTAACCTCTATTCTCTTAGTTGTTCTGATAGAAAAACTCCTACCATAACAATTCTATAACACTTTCATGCAGAATAATTTATTATCAAATCTTGCTGGGTAACCAATAATTTACTAAACCTGTGAAATTTCTCATTAATGAGGATGATTGCAATTTGTCAACCCTTAGTTTCTTTTATTAAGATGAGAACTAGGTGAACAAGTGTTATTATTTTTAATTGTAGTTAGAAAATGTCACCCTGGAAAAATATCAGGCTTATATTTTGCATCATCATCATAAATAATATGAGTCTAACTTAATGTCTTTAGATAGTTGAACACTAGTTCAAGTATATATAACTTCTGACAATATTGTCATTTTCCACATCATTTAATATCCTCTGGATGATTTAACACTCTTTAGCTTAGCAATCAATTGCAAACTTGTTTGCTTTTGCCAGAGGACGACAGTCTGTACCTGGGTATTTGAATACCATTTCCTATTTGTAACATTTCTTTGCAGAGACTAGTACCTTGAGTCTATGAAAAAAAAAAAGATAATATTTGCCTTGGCATGTTTATCACAAACCAAAATATATGCAACTATATCTATATGTATGTACATAAAATTTTTTGTCACCCAAAATCACACATTCTGGGATCTCGTGGCAGGCATTACATGTACGACATTTCAAGGATAGTTCTGCAGAACAGTTAACGGAAGAGTAAGCATCTTTGTTAGCCAGATGGCAAGCAGTAAGGAAAAGTTTCAAGAGGCACCAAAAAAAGTAGGGGCTTGAAAACAGGGAGCTCAGCTTTGGTTTCTGTGGTGGCACAATCAACACTTTATCCAGAGCTCTGCACACGTTCATATGGACATCTGTAGATCTGCTTAGGAGACTAGATGTTATTTCACAATTCATGTGTGCTCTTGATTTACTCAATGCTTAGAAAAAAACAGCAGTAGGTGAACATGAAGAAAGCATGAGCTACTTGTGATATTATAAAATGTATGTATATCATAACAAAGAAGGTGCGATGAGGAGAAATGTGTTAGTACTTACAAAAGACTTAAAATAGCATTCGGCACATGATGCTGTGCAAGCATTTTACTAAATAACATTATTTCAAAGCAATACTGTTAAGACCATGAAGCATGGGCCAAGAACAACTATCTAACACCAAGATAATGTAACCCATCCCACAAGGTGTTCAGCTTCAACAAGATGGGCTTACGGTATCACTTTTCTGTTATGTTGAATTTAGTTTCTAATAAGATAAATACTGGGGGCCTCCCCATGGCACAACGGTTGAGCGCTGGGTTGCGAAGCTGCCCGCAGCCTCTGCAGCGCCAGTTCGATGCCCGGCTGATCCCCGGCTGCTCCCCGGCCACCAGAGGAGGGTCCCACATGGCGCGCAGACCTCTCCTGCCGCCCGCTGCTCCCCTCAGCAGTGTACTTCGGTCCTTCTGCCTGCTCTGCTCCCTGCTCTGGCTCTGGTGAATTCTCTCACCCTCCCGTGCTTCTGACTGTACCCAGTGCTTGTATAAATAAATAAATAAATCTTTAAAAAAAAAAAAAAACTTAAAAAAAAAGATAAATACTGGCTCTTATACCAAGGGAGTATCAGATAGGCATTATAACATCCATTTTAAAAATGGTGAGACTGGGCCTCCCTGGTGGCACAAGAGGTTAAGTCTCAGCACTATCATGCTATCACCAGCCACTGGGACATGAGTTTGATCCCTGGTCACGGAGCTGACCCCATATGGCTCTGCAGACCTCTCCTTTCTCGCCCTCTGCTCCCCTCAGCAGTGTATTTCACTAAATCCACCTGTTTTACTCCCCACTCTGTGTCTGGTGAATCCTCTCACCCACTGCATCTCTGGCCTACACCCCAGTTCTTGTATGCATAAATAAATAAATCTTTTTACAGGGACTCAGAGCAAACATCCTCATTGCAGGTGCACAGCTATTAGACAGCATGACCAAGATTTAAGCAAAACTTTGGCTTCAAAAATCTACCTCTTTTTATGCAAGATTTAAGCAAAACTTTGGCTTCAAAAATCTACCTCTTTTTATCTACCTCTTTTTATTCAGGGCAAGTCTATCTAATCCATTATTCACATGTGCAGTTTTATTCTTTGTAATATATCCTTCAGAGCTAAGGGAACTGACTACCAATTGAAAGAAGGATCCTATGTCCAAATGCACAGGTTGCATTAAAGAAGGGAAGTAGGGTTAGTTTCTCAGCTTGCCAGCTGACTACACAACTGAGACACCAAGAGGGGAGGGTAAAGGACAGAAAGAGAGGGAGAGAGGGAGAGAAGGAGGCTTAGAGGAAGGGAGGGAGGGATAATGTGTTGTGATGGTGGTGGTGGTGGAGTATGGGCGAGTTGGTGACGGATGCACCATGGTGGTAATACCATACCCCAATGTCCCCTAGCACCCATTTTTGTCTGAACCCACTCATACTTTACCCTGTCTAGGCACACTCAACTTTTTAATAGAATTTATCTGTCCTAAACAATAAATTCATTGTCTACTAGAACCTTAGATGACATGACAAAGTGATTTCAGAAAACATGAGAGCCAAAAAAAAAGGAACATGTCATGCAAACTATACTTTGAAGAAATAAAAATCAATGCAAATTTTCTTTGTTATACCTAGTGAGTGAGTCGGAGGACTGTGGGCACTTTGGTGGTGGGAAAACTGGTTGACTGCACCTGAGGGGAGAAATGCTATACTGTGGAAAAACAAGGATGTTTAAAAAAAACAAAAAAGAAATATTGAAGAGTATTTATATCAGGATAGTCTCTTTCTGAAAAATAAAAATCTGCTACTTCAAAGAAAAGCGCCTTGATATTCCAAGCAGCTATAATTTGCATTACTGAGCTTATGGTATAACCAAAACAAAAAACCAAGTTGCTACTATCTTGGGAGAAGTTGGGGTGGTAAAAACTACATGGTCTAAATCAACACTCTGTATGTGTTAGCTGGATGACCTATAGCAAATTATTTCATTTCTCTGGACCTCAGTTTTTTTAAGAGCAAAGCAGTAACGGAAATAGTAACATCCTTGCAGTGCAAGTTAAATGAAAGTACTGAAGTAAACTGTCAGCATAGGGTAACTGCAAGTGTAATGTGCTCAGAAACTGGATATGATTGTTGTTATTTATCACTAGGATTCTGTCTTTCCAAATAATGGTATTATTATGCACCAGTGTGTACAAGATACTGGAAATGCCACAGTGAATTAGGCAGAAAAAATTCCTGTATTATGGAGCATATTCTTTAGTGAGAGCTCATTATCACTCCTTTGACTTGATGACCTTGGTGATAACATGTTGTTTACAATGAAACTTGGCATCATTCCTTCTTTGCAAACTCAGAAAAACTCAGGCATCACACGTATGTGGCTTCTTTGTCAACATCTTTCCAGAATTCTAAGTGTGGCTTGAATAGATTTTATATATAGAATGAGATTACAATCCTAAATCTGCCACTAATGTGCTGTTTGTTGTTTTGTTAATTTACCATCCTAGGGGAGATGATGGGTTGAATCAACTCTAAACTGGTAAGATGGAAATCTGAAAGGACTCTCTGTTGTGCAAGAAAAGAAAATCATGAAACTCTAAATTGAGGGAGATTTGATACATGGAAAGGCTCATTTTGATTTCAAAACTTCTTGGTATGTGATATGAAACCTGGATGTTAAAGGTAACAAAATGAGAAGGTGGGTTTGCAGGTGTCCAGGTGTGTGGATTCCCAGTACCACCACCATGTGCTCAATTTGACCAAGATAGTTTTACACTAATATAAAGTAACAGCCCTTCAAGTTCTAAATACTGTCAATGATCCTCTTAAAAGTATTACTGGCATATGTTTAGTTTCAGTCCTCCCTGGTGGCCTAGGGGTTAAATCTCAGCACTATCCTATCACTGCTGCAGCCTGAGTTTGATACAGCCAGGGAGCTAACCCACATATGGCGCAGCAGACCTCTCTTGTCTCACCTGCTGCTCCCCTCAGCAGTGTATTTCAGTAGATCAGCCTGTTCTGCTCCCCACTCTGTCTCTGGTGAATCCTCTCACCCCCCACAGCTCTGGCCTACACCCCAGTTCTTCTA